GGGAGATAAAGAGAGGTGTGACATGGGCTCGTTTGAGCTTGTTGAAGACCAGACGTGCCGCTGCATTCTGAATCATTTGTAGAGGTTTGATTGTGCTTGATGGAAGTCCAGCCAGAAGAGCATTGCAGTAGTCCAGCCTAGAAATGACAAGGGCCTGGACAAGAAGTTGTGCAGCATGCTCCGTTAGGAAGGGCCTGATCTTTCTGATGTTGTGCAATGCAAACCTGCATTATCGAGCAGTTTTTGCTATGTGGACTTTGAAAGCCAGCTGGTCATCAAAGATTACACCAAGATTTCTTATGAGGTAACTGTTGATGAACCTAGCTGGATGGTGAAATCATGCTGTAGAGTTGGAGTGGCGGGGAAGACAAGGAGCTCAGACTTTGCTAGGTTGAGCTGTAGGTGATGATCTTTCATTCATGCAGAGATGTCCACCAGGCAGCCTAAGATCTGTGCAGCTACCGTTGGATCATCTGGTTAAAATGAGAGATAGAGCTCTATCATCACTGTCATCAACTGTATCATCAGCATAGCAGTGGTAGTAGAAACCATGTGCCTGTATGTTTGGACCCAGTGATGTAGTGTATATGGAGAAGAGGAGGGGTCCAAGAACTGATCCCTGAGGAACCCCAGTGACCAGCTGATGTGCTTTGGATACCTCCCCTCCCCAAGCCACCCTGAAGACCTACCAGTGAGATAGGATTCAAACCAGCGAAGTGGAATCCCTGTGATGCATAGTGATGAGAGAGTGGACATGAGGATCTTATGATTCCCAGTGTCAAAAGCGGCAGATAGATCCAGCAGATATATAAGAATTTTAGATTTATAATATTAATATTGAATAATAAAAAAAAATACATGTAGTACATAAGTTAAATTATATAATTAAATGGCAATAATTAAATGTACCGATTTATTTTTCAGTATTTAAATTTATAGACAACAATTATTTTATAACATGCATTTTCACACTAGTAATATGCTTAAAAAATCAAAACATCACAACAAAAATCATAACAAAAAATCTAAATGTTTTTATATATAAGAATGTAATATTTTATAATATTATAAATAATAAAATATAATAGAAATACATTTATTATATGTAATGCATAAATTATTTACTGTAATAAGTCATTAATTAATTGTACCGATTTATTTTGCTATATGTGATGAATTGAATTCAAAGTAGGCGGTGCTTTTCACTGATTGGCTAATCCTAAAATAAATTGTGTCATGTAAATATTTATTTATATTTAATAAAAAATAATAATTAAAGTTGAGTATTTGGTCCTTTATAGTACCAAACTGAAGACTTATTTCACAATGTAAACCCCTCCCACTGATCCTCTATGGAGACGCACAGCATCATAATTGGCTCACAGTCCGTCAGAGCCGCTCAGTGAGTCTGATGCTGATCCAGAGCAGCACTATCATAACCACTGCATGATCAGCACATACAGCAATCATGACAGGCCGTTTCACACGCTTCTAGACTTTTACGGATGGACATGGAGCAAAATCATTTCAAATTATTTTTGAAGAATCTGCCGCTGTTCTTCCTTTTTGTGGAACACGTTAAACCTGGTAAGTGCACAGTTCTTTTTAATTAATGAAATTATATTTTATGGAATGATTATTCAGTTCATTTGCGTGTTTCAAATCATATTTGTGAATGAAACACTTACAGTGTCATGAATAGTGTAATCAAAAGATTTTAGATGAAGTATTGAGTGTTAATGTCTTATTCTCTTCATATAGCCTATCAGTGGATCAGGTACTTGAAATCCATATTAATAATATTTTAACCACGATTTTCCTTCAGAAAAATCTATGTGTATCATTTTTAATGTTATAGCATATTAAGTCCACTGGCAATATTTTAAGCTAAAAATTCAGTGCTTATTCATATATACAGTGGGATCTAAAAGTCTCAGACCACATTGCATTAAACCTCATTAATTGGAACATTCTTAAATCAAGTGGGCATTCTGAAATTACTATTCATTTTTTAATTCAACACAAAAGAGTAATTGAGAAACACGCTTTAAATGTAGTTCTGTTCCCTACATAGTGTTTATTTAACAAATATGCCTTGTATTACTAATAAAATTCTTATTTTTAATTAGAATTAAAAATTTCTTTAAAAATCTAAAACACAAACAAAAATGTATGGAATAATTGCAACAGCTTTTTCCCGTGGCGGAAACAAACTCCCATCTCACAATTCTGACTTTTTTCTAGCAATTCTGAGAAAAAAAGGCAGAATTATAATTATAATAGCAAGAGGAAAAGTCATAATTTTTTAATTCAGGGTTGCAAGAAAAAAAAGTCTTACATTTTTATTTATAAATTAAATTTTTTATTTATTATTTTTTATTCCGTGGTGGAAACAAACTTCCATAAAAACTATATGTTAAATAAAAGCAATTTTCCTTTCTTTCTTTTATTTTTTATTTGTATTATTTTCCAGAGGGTCTTCGCGTATCAAGTTTTGTCAGGACAATCATCCACAACCTCAAACAATAGGACTCTATATAAAATAGCTTAGAGAACATGGAAGTTGAAAGAAAATAATTAGTGGCTGAAAACTGCTAAAACAACTTTTACTATGCCTAATATAAATGCAAATCTGAGCAAATAATAAAAAATGCATAAATTACAGACCGACTCCATGACTCTAAGACTGAAAAGCATATTGTGTATCATATTGCACAAGGTTTAACATTTATATATAGACAAATCAAACTGTAGAAGATGTGTATGATTTAGTATCTTAATTCTCACTGAAAGTTGCAATGGCACGGAGTAAAATAAAGTTGCATGATCAAGACCTGTCAGAAACTCTCTTATTTGTATGAATATCTTTGCAGCATTATCAGACGGTTGGATCCATGCACATGCAGAAGACAAACTCTTTAAAAAACTCTTCATCGGTTACAATAAGTGGTCCAGACCCGTGCAGAACATCAGCGATGTTGTTATTGTCAAATTTGGCCTCTCGATCGCCCAGCTTATTGATGTGGTAAGTTGATATTTTGCATGCTTGCCTTGAAAACATTACAAGAAAGAGTCCTGGGGCCTGTTTCATAAAACAAGTTTACCAAATAAGCCAGGTTTATTTCAGTTAGTCTGACTTATTGATTTGGTTCAAAATAAGTCAGACTAACTGAAATAAGCCTGGCTTATTTGGTAAACTTGTTTTATGAAACAGGCCCCAGGTTATAACTGAGTGGAAAACAAAGCAAATTAAATGTATACCAAAAATATAACCATCATGAGTGCATTCAATCAGAGAACTGAAGAATTGCTAACATGATTTTTACATTTCTGATGAAAATATGAGTGGTGCTTCAGCTTCAGTCACTTCTCCAGTGTAAGTCTGTGGGATTTATTCATCTACCAGACCAAATTTATATATTTTTGATGCTTATTTCTTGCTCTGATATTCTACAGGACGAAAAGAATCAAATGATGACAACAAATGTTTGGCTGAAACAGGTGACAGTCTTAATATTTAACTGTTTTAATTAATAATTTATATTGTGGTCAAAGCTCAACTGATAGAATTCATGAACCCTTCAGATAATATAGTGAAAACAAATGCAATAATTATGTTCTATATATTATAAAAAGCCCATTAAACCTCAAGAGTAACTTCAGCAGCACTTACGTACACCAGTTTTATTCCTAACTATATTCTAAAGATTTTTACATAGGGTTTTGTTCTTATATCATTTACCTGATTTTATACAACATTTTATATATTTTTTCATTTGGCTATATATATATATATATATATATATAATTAATATATCCATATGTGACTGTTTGACCTCTGACCTCTGCAGGAATGGAACGATTATAAACTGCGCTGGAATCCATCTGAATTTGATAATGTGATGTCTATTAGAGTCCCGTCAGAGATGATTTGGGTGCCTGACATTGTTTTATACAATAAGTAAGTACTGAAGTAAAAGGTAGTAGCACACACAACATATGCAGTAATATTTTGTCAAGGTGGTCCTGGCTAATTGGACATCAAAGGTTATGATTAAACTAACACAGTGTCCTGTTAAAATCATGGAAGAAAGAGGACGGCCCAAGTCCTAATGGCTCTATTAATATCTGCAGGCCGTAGATCTGACGCTCTGGTGTTTCTGTAACATTAATATGTGAAATCAACCAGACATGGCGTGAAATAAGATGTTAAGCACTGCTGTAGTTAATTAAAAAAAGGTGCATGTTTTAATCTCCTAATAAAATGTCAAATGACTCGTCTATTTTCAGAAACACCAGGTCTGTTTTTTATCTAGGAGGCATATTTGATCTCGACAAATGAGAAATTGAGGTCCTCTTGCATCATCAGATACCTCGAGCAAAAAACAGAAAGTGCTGTAGATATTTGAAGTAATTAATGCAATTGTCATGGAACATCTTCCTAGAGGCATAAAGAAAGTTTGTAGCCCAGATACATCAAAGACACTTCCTATAATTCATCCATATTTTACAGAAAGCACTTTTTAAAAGGGTCATACTCTATGAGATCCAGTTAAAATGTTAGTAATTTTTTTGTGCATTAAAAAAGACAGTTTTTTATGGCCCTTAGAATTTTGGCTGCTATCCCTTTAAGACTTGCATCATTGCTTTTATTAAAAAACAAATAGAAGTACAACTGATTTTACCACTGATAATTTTGTTTAAAAAGTTTATTTTCATTTAGTTTATTATCTATTAAGTTTAAATAATCATATTAAAATGATATCTTAAGGATGGAATAATGGCTACTGAAAATTCAGCTTTGCCATCACAGGAATAAAGCACATTTTAAATATATTTGGAGAAAAAAAAAAAAAAAAGTTATTTTAAATTCTAAAAATATTCCACAATATTGCGGGTTTTTTTAATGATCAAATAAATTGCCATTTTCACCACATATGAAAACAATCCCTTAGTAAATTATAATTCAGATTTTAAAATGTTGCATTTATGACAATGTTAAAATTCTAACATGCTAAGTCATAATTATGAGATAAAAATATTATTATTAAACAAAAGGGTGAAATTATGAGATAGTAATTTATGGCATACTAAGTGAAAACTGAGATAAAAAGTCATTCTTACTAGAAAAAGGTAAAAAATTATGACATTAAAAAGCTGAAATGAGATAAGTCAAAATTATGATTTACTAAATCATAATTGAGATAAAAAGTCATAACGAGATTAAAAAAAAAGTAAATATTATGACATTAAAGTTTAAATAATGAGATAAAACGTGAAAATGATATACTAAGTCAATTATGAGCCAAAATTAGGGGGAAAAATTGTGAAATTATGAGATAAAAAGTCAAATTTATGACACACCAAGTCATAATTATGACTTTGAAAAGTTTAAATGAGATTAAAGTCAAAATTATGATATACGAATTCATAACTAAGAAAAAAAGTAATAATGAAATAAAAAGTCTAAATTATGACATTAAAGTTTCAATAATTAGATAAGTAAATTATAAATCAAAATTATGAAAAATGCAACCTTAGTGAGCATAAGAGACTTCTTTCAAAAACATAAAAAAAAAATCTTACAGAGCCTAAACTATTGAATGGTGCTGTAACCTCATGTGGTTTTGTCTACAGTGCGGATGGTGAGTTTGCGGTGACCCACATGACCAAAGCCCATCTGTTCCACACTGGAAAGGTGAGTTGGGTTCCTCCAGCCATCTACAAGAGCTCCTGCAGCATTGACGTCACCTTCTTCCCGTTCGACCAACAAAACTGCAAGATGAAGTTTGGCTCCTGGACCTACGACAAGGCCAAGATTGATCTGGAGCAGATCGAGAGCACCGTGGACCTGAAGGACTACTGGGAGAGCGGCGAATGGTCCATCATCAATGCCGTGGGAACCTACAACACAAAGAAATACGACTGTTGTTATGAGATCTACCCGGACATCACCTACTTCTTCATCATCCGCCGTCTGCCTCTGTTCTACACCATCAACCTCATCATTCCCTGCTTGCTCATTTCTTGTTTGACTGTGCTGGTGTTCTACCTGCCATCAGACTGTGGAGAGAAGATCACGTTGTGTATTTCCGTCCTCCTTTCCCTCACCGTTTTCCTGTTGCTCATTACCGAAATCATTCCCTCGACGTCTCTGGTCATTCCACTGATTGGAGAGTACCTGCTCTTCACCATGATCTTTGTCACCCTCTCTATAGTCATTACTGTTTTTGTGCTTAACGTGCACCATCGTTCACCAAGCACCCATAAAATGCCCCGTTGGGTCCATTCGGTGTTCCTGGACCTCATTCCCCGCTGGCTCTTCATGAGACGCCCGAAACCCGATCAGAAACGCCACAATATGCCCAACCTCAGCACGTCCAAAAGCTGGCTTCAGCAGGAGACGGATGTGGACGGGCTGAACTGTCAGGACATGGAGTTCGGGTTAGGGACGGGAATATCCACGTCCATCTCGTCCCCATCCGCCACGTCTCTGCATCTGTCCGACTCGGAGCCTTTGCTCCAGAAGTACGAGCTCCAGCAGTTAGGACACGTGGTGAACTTGTGTCAGTGTTCAGCAAATCTTACAAATCTGGTGTCAGACCCCAGTCTGACCTTCTCACCATGTGTCCTACGAGCTCTGGACGGGGTGCGCTACATCGCTGATCACCTGCGTGCGGAGGACGAAGACTTCTCAGTGAGTGACGCAAACATTCAACGCATTGTTTAGGGATTATAGAAGCCCAATTCCAATACATAATTATTATTGGTAAACCATAATTATGACATTAAAAAGTTGTAATTATGCCACAAATTCAAAATTATGGCAAAATTGTGACAAGTCATAATTATTAGATAAATCTAAATTTTGCATAAAACAAATTAAGAGAAGTCAAAATTATGAGATAAATCAGATGGATGACATACTAAGTCATAATTATGAGATAAAAAGTGAATATGCAATAAAAAAAATCTAATTATGAGATACAAGTCAGAATTCTGACAAAAGGTTGAAATTCTGATATAGTTATATTTACAATATAAAAAAGTCAAAATTATGATATATTAAGTCATAACAATGAGATAAAACATACCTAGAGTGAGATTAAAAATGAGATAAAATGTACCTAGCGTGAGATAAAAATTCAACTATGAGATAGTCAAAATTATGACATACTACCAAGTCATAATTATGACATAAAAAGGCAAAAAGGATGAAATTCTGACACTAAGTTGTCAAAATTCTGTTGTGTGAATACTGATGAGACTTAAAAGTCAAAATAATAAGCGAAGTCATAACTATGAGATAAAATGTACTTCAATCATGACAACTCTCGGAACATTTTAGCATGGTAATGGATATGACAATGTTAATGCATTTGGTCTTGGCGGAACAGATCTGCTATGCTGCTGCTGTTGGTTATTGCTGTAGTTGTAGATTATTGCTGCTGCTGCAAGCAAGTACAGGAACTTGCTACAGCCAATGCATATGGCGATACGGTGCCGTGAGTATTTAAGACATGCTGCTGCTGCACAAATAGCATATAATATAACCCCCCAACAAAGCTGGAAGAAGAAACAAAACATTTAAATGTATGCTGCTGCTATACAATAATATGCTTAAAATCATCCCTATAAGGCAGAAGGAATATAAAAGATAAACCCTGCCAGAACAAGCAGATCTATTGCCAAGACATATGTACTGCTGCTTCGGTGGAGAGCCGTG